TTGTGTTTTTGTGTGTGCTGTGTGTGTGTGTGTGTGTGTGTGTGTGTGTGTGTGTGTGTGTGTGTGTGTGTGTGTGTGTGTGTACAGTGCTGGTGGGGGCCAGAAGATGGTGACAGATTCCCTGGAGCTGAATTTACAGATGATTCTGAATCACCCAATGTGGATGCTATAAACTGAGCTCGGGACCTCCACAAGGGCAGCATTTTTTAATTTATTTTTTACATTCCAATCCCAGTTGCCCCTCCCTCCTATACTCCCATTTTACCCATTTCCCCCCAACTCCTATCTACTCCTTGGAGAGAGGGTAAGGCCTCCCCCCCCTATGAAGTCTACTAAGTCTGTCCCATCATCTCGTTGAGGCAGGACCCAGACACCTCTCCCCGACACACACACACACACACCCGTTTCTAGGTGGGGCAAGGTGTCTCTCCATATAGAATGGGCTCCACTACGTCAGTTTGTGCATTAGAGTCAGATCTTGGACCCACTGCCAGTGGCCTCATATATTGTCCCAGCCACACCATTGTCACCTTATTAAAGGAGTCTAGATCAGTCTTATGCAGACTCCCCATTTGTCAGACCTGAGTCAGTGATCTCTCTCTAGCTTGGGTCAGCTGATCCTGTGGGTTTCCCCATCATGGTCTTGACTCCTTTGTTCTTCCCTCACTTTGATTGTCCTCCAGGAGCTTGACCCATTCGTTAGTTGTGGATTTCTGCATCTACTTCCGTCTGTTTCTGGAAGAGGGCTCTAGCCTCTCTGGGGTTGTGGGTTGTAGGCTGGGTATCTTTGCAGCAAATGGTTTTAACCACCGAGACATCTCTCCAGCTTTCCGGTCTATTGATAAAGGTAACGCCCAATATCCAGAATCACTTATGAGGGATCCCTGTTGAGACGGAAGATCCAAATACAGTCTAGTCTAGTGCGCCTTTTTTATTTGCAGTCTTAGTAGTCCTTACATTCACTTTCAGAGTCCACTGGGAGTGATTCAATATCAAGGCTGAATCACAGGACTCATTTGCTATGTGGTTGGCATATAACACTGTACTTGAAGGAGGGGGGGGGGAAGGTGAGACTTCAGGCAGCGGAAACTAGTTGCTGGTAGCTGAGTGGGTTGACCGCATTCTACATCTCATGCCCATCTTCTGAAATCGGTATCGTCACCCCAGTCATGCTATGAGCTATGCAGTGTGGTAGCTGTTCATTGCAATGCTGTGAAGCTAGATAGGTCCTTTCAATTAGTGCCATAGAGACAACTGGGTCTCCATACAAAAGAATTAAAGTACAATTAAACAAGAACACACTCCTGATGGATAAGGGGCCTATAACTGCAAAATACATCCTGTTGTGGGAACCCACAGAAGAGAGTTATCTTGACCCTGATATAGGAGATAGCTTCTAAAACAAGACACAGGACCTGCTTACTCTAAAGAAAAGGGCTAATGAACTCAACCAAGCTAATTACCATGCTAATGATAAAAGGAAAAAAATCACATTTCATATAATCGACTAGGTAATGCAATCGTTGTGCTTTTCTGAGATAGTCTCACTAACTCATGCATGCTAGACAAACCCTCTTTTAACAAGAACATTTAATTTTTCTGAACATAATAAGCTCACATATTACATTACAGTCATGGGGGAAACAGACTTATAAAGATAAAGACCGTCTAACACATGAAAAAATAAAAATAAGTAGTTCACTGAACATCATTGTCTATATAATTGGAGATGAGAAGTTGGAATGACAGAGCGCCTGCCTAGCACGCATAAGGCAATTGGCTCAATCATCATCGAAAGGGTCATTTTTAAGTGGAGAGAGGTTTTAGCTAAATGTGTCTTAAATCTCCCAGGCAGTGGTGACTGTGTGTCTATTTTGCCACATTTAAGAGGAACATAAGTTGTTATGTAAAGTGAGGAAAGCTCAAAGGAAAAAATTCAGAGCTTCCAACACAGGGAGGTGTTGAAGAAACACAGTTGGGAGGTCAATGAAACCACCAAGCGAGGTGAGAAAGACAAAGTACAAACTCCCATAATCACCTCCTTTCCTAAGAACCACAATTTCTCACCCTTGGTCTCCATCTATCTTGCCACACCCTAAAAGTGTGGTGTCTGTGAATATATGAGCTCATTAAAAAGGGCTGGGATCACATTTTGGCACATTGACATGGGAAAGAGTCCCTCCTACATCAGGGATGTAGGATTAGGGTAGAATGGATCGTGGCCAACAATTACCTATTTTTCCCTTATGTCTCTAGACTCCAAGAAGCAAGATTACATGATGGAGAATTCAATCCGGATGGGTGTGGCAGGGGTGGTCCTTGTGGTCCTCTTGGTGATACTAGCTGAAAATTGGAACAGCCACAGGGTACCACACAAGGAAGACTGTCAGGAATTGGCTGCACCGAGATGGAGCAAATAGTGACTGTGGGTAAACACTGGGAGCTGCAGGTGGGGATGTGTCTTCCAGAAAGGAAAAGCCATTAGAAGCTTGGATCCATCTGCAGAATGTAAGGTTTGAGTGCACAGTGTCCACCACAGGCTCGAGTGTTGGAACATTCACTCCCCAGCAGATGGTGCTGTTTGGGAAGATGTGTAGAACTTCAAGAGGTGAGCTATGTAGTCCAAAGGAGACTACTCTTTGAAGGTCATACTGACTTCAGGTTCCTATCTAGCTCCCTGGCACTATACACTCCCACGGAGCTGCTCCTATTACGTATTTTCCTTCCATAATAGACTACTCCCTCTGAAAACGTGAGCCAGAACTAGACTTGCCTATCTTTCTTTCAAGACAAAAAAATATTAACTAGGGCATGGAGTTATCAGATGGTATGGTCCTAGGTGGATCTGATGCTATTTCTTCTCTATTGGTTAGCATTCAGATTATTTTTAATACATTTTTATTTGTGAGCTTATAATACAGCTACATACCTTGGTTAGCTTTTTCCTTTTTTTGGTCAACTTGACCCAAGCTAGGGTCACCCAGGAAGAGGAGACCTCGATTGAGAAAATGTCTCAATCAGATTTCCCTGTAGGCAAGTCTGTGGAATGTTTTTCTTGATGAATGATTGATGTGAAGGGTGTACCTCACTGTGGATGGTGCATCCTTGGGCAGGTGGCAAGTCACAAACAGCAAGCCAGTACACTGCACTCTTCCATAGACTCCACTGCAGTTCCTGCCTCCACGTTCCAGCCTTGAGTTCCTGCCCTGGCTTCCCCTGATAATGGACTGTAACCTGTAAGCCAAATAAATCTCATCCTCCCCAAGTTGCTTTGGTCATGGTGTTTTACCCAGTTGTGGAAAGCAAACCAAGAACATTGATTATGATTATAATTTTCCATCTTTTTACGTCCTTTTTATTTTCCTCCTTTCGTGGTACTAGTGATTGAACTGAAGGTCCCGTGCATGCTTGATGAGTTTCCTACAACTGGGTTTTATCCCCAGACCTCTTTTCATTTTAAGACAAGTTTTTGTAGAGCTTCCCAGGGTTGTCTTGAGCTCACCTTGTGACACAGTCTGACCCCAAAATTGTGACCCACTGTGAGAATGGGTTTTTATTTTGAGAAATGCTATTTAAAGTTTGCGTTTACAGATCAAACTTTCATCCAACTTATAATCAAATTGATAATGTACTTTGAGGTCTTCGTAGCTATGCACTAATTCTTCTGACACACTATGTACTCATCCTGTTCAAAATTAGCTGAACTCTAAGATAACCTCACAATCAAACTTATTGTACTTTGGACATCTGATGTAATTCCTCCAAGCTCAGCTGAATGCACAGCCCCAATTGTACCACATCCCTATTTCATCTTTGTGACACATTCATGCCCTGACTCAAAATGTGTGGGACGGAGGGAAGGAGGGAGGGAGGGAGGGACGGAGGGAGATGTGATGACCAGGTCTAAGACTATGTGCCGGAAGCATCGAAGCATTGAAATCAATGATCTACACTCAAAATATATTAGAAACAGCATGTGAGTATAGATTGATTATATGTGATTATGGCTTTGTATGCTGTTCTGAGTATATAGGTCAGGAACACAACTTTCTATCTTATGAGACTCCTGAAAACTAAGATAAAAGTCCCTCATCCCTTTTTGTTATTGTATTTGAAATGTCATTTGGTACATAGAGAGCGTGGCCTTTATTTACACTACTTCTTAGATTAGACCATTCTCTTCTACACTCTCTTCTTTTAGGTTAGACAAGTTTTAGAACAGGAAAGACCAAAACTCTTCTGAGTAAATCAGGCCCATTGTTGAGCAAATGAAACAAGGAGCCTTTCTTCTTTTAGACACCATCACCACGTCTTCCTGGCCCCTCAGCCCTTTTAGACACCATCACCACGTCTTCCTGGCCCCTCAGCCTCCTGAGTAGCTAGGATGACAGATCTGCTCCATCAGGCTTGGACCACTTTTCCTTTTCAGATTTTATTCTTTATTCTTTATACTTCCTGTCTATATTTTTATATTACCATTTGAGAATTCCATGTGTGGATATAGTTTGGAAAAAATCCACTTCCATCTCCTCCTCTTCAGTTCTTTCCCTATCCATACCACCACTCCCCACCCTAACTTCATATACTCCATTTTTAAACTCACTGAGCCTAGCTAGTACTACCAGTATGTGCATGGCTTTAGGGCCACACACTGGAACATGGGCAGCCTCTCAATGGCTGCACCCTTGGTGGAGGGACTCACTCCCTTTCCCAGCAGCCAGCAATTACCAAAATAGTTCCTCAGCTAGGGGTGGGACTTTGTGACTCCCATCTCCCGTCTACACTGGGTTTTAGACTTTTTAAAATGCATATCCATCAATTATAAATAACCAGTAGGCTTGTTGCAATAGTCTTTGTCTTTAAGGTATTGGTTCTGTCTGAATGTAAACTAAATATGTAAACACAAAAGCAAATGAAGATCACAATCCTATTTGGGAAATATGAAACTGTAGTAAATGACAACTTCATTTGGGCACTGTAATAATAACTCTTTCTGACAACTGCCTGGGTTCTGCCGCCACTTTAGGGCCCCCAAATAACACACAGAGTCTTATATTAGTTACAATGCTTCTGGCCAATGACTAGGATTTCTTATTTGCTAGCTCAGTCTTAATTATCAACTATAACTACTAATCTATATGTTTTTATATGGACTTACCTTACCGAGGACGCCGGCCTTAAGTGTCCTTTCTTCCTGGGATCACATGGCAACTCTCTCCCTTTCCTACATTTCCCAGAATCCTCCTCCTCTCCTAGTCCTGCCTAACTTGCTTGCCTATTGGCCAACAGTGCTTTATTTACCAACCAATAAGACAAGCATATACACAGAAGGACCTCCCCAATCAGGGCACCAAGTTTACATTTGCAACCTTAATAGATGCTAGAGTTCTGACTTGTAACAGTACCAATGTATTTTACACTATTGAACCAATAATAATATATTGCAAAGAGTTAGAAGAAATAAACCAGTCTCAGAAACACCAGCAACATATATTTCCTTTTATATATGTAATTTGGAGTGAGTGAAGGACATAAAGTAAAATGGGGATCATTAGAAATGTGGAAAGAAAGCATGGTAGGGGTAATAAACAGTAATGGAGAGCATGGATATCTTTAGGACCACGGAACAGTGTGCGCATGTATGGAAATGACACACCAAAAGCCTCATTTGTGCAACTGACACATACTAATAAAATTGGTGAAAATTCCCAAAGAAATTATTTGAACATTTATACCATTACAGAAATCATGATGACTGGAGAGAGATGTCAGTCATTAAAAGTTAGGTCCACAATCTAAGGGACCTCTGGTTGTGGATCAGTATTTACCCCTAGTACACAAATGAACTTTGGGAGCCCTCTCCACATAGAGGGATACTCTCTCAGCCTAGACACACTGGGGAGGGTCTAGGCCCTGCTCCAAATGATATGACAGATTTGAAGTTCCCCATGGAAGGCCTCACCCTCCCTGGGGAGCAGAAAGGGGTTGGGATGGGGGTTGCTGAGGGGCAGGGGAGGAGGGGAGGGAGAGGGAATTGGGATTGACATGTAAAAGGAGCTTGTTTCTAATTTAAATTTTAAAAAATTTAAAAAGTTAGGTCCACAACCAAAAATATAGTAAATTGTGAGTCTGAGAAAACACGGTGTGAATTCCTGCCTTGACGCTCCAGTGGTGATGGACTTTAATGTGGGACTGTTGGCCAAATAAACCATCTCTGCCCTAGATTTCCTTTGCCAGGGTAACTAACCACAGCAACAAAAATAAAACTATGACACTGATAAAAAGACAAAACTCAGGAATCCACCAGATGACAAGAAGGTTGACAAAAACATCAAAGGTCTAGATAATCTATAAAATCAAATTATAGTAGGAAGTTTCCCAAGTCTATAGAAAGCTCTAGACTAGACATCCAAACGAAAGAGTTACCCTGAACTCCAAATAGACATGATCAGGATTACTCTGCATGACATAATGTAGTCAAGATACCAAAAATACAAAACAAAGAAAGAATGTTAAAATCCATAAGGGAAAGACGCCAACTCACTTAATAAAAGCACATACATCAGAATAATGTCAGCTCTCCCCAAAAGGCAGAAAAAAATGTGGGATGATATATTTCAAGACCTGAAAGCAATTCACTCAACTAATGCTGCTATATCCAGCAAAGTTGTGCTGTGAAATTAACAAGGAAATAAGGACATTTCGAGATAAACACAAACTAAGGCTGGTCATGACGACCAAGCGAGCCTCATAGAAGATGATGGCATTAGCATCAGACACACAGGAGGAAGAAAGATACTCTCAAGGGTACAGGAAATAATAAATTTCATGGGAGGAAGAGAGAAACAAGACAGGAAGGAATCCCAGAAAGGAAATATTATTAACTGAGTAAACAGGAAGTGCAAGCAAGCAACTTCCAAAAAAATGTGCAAAATGACGGAAACACCTGGTTGCCTGCACAGTCACCCTGATTGCTCTGCAAAGTTGGGGCTTCCATCTTTGATCTATAGGCCTAGCATATCTGACAGACTTTTCCGTGAAGCAGGATAATCTGAAGGCCTGGGCCACCTTGTCTTGGCAAGGTTTGCAGTCACTCTCTTTTGTGTCCTGTTTGTCCAATTTGGACAGCATGCTGTCAGAAGTTGAGGCAAGGACACTTTCTTGCCCGCTGGCTTACCTTAGCCACAAAGAAAGTAAACTCCATGTGCAGTTTCTTCAATGCCCATCATCTTCTCCAACACAGATTGGTACTACCAGGAGCAGACATGTCTCACTGTCATAAACAAGAACCTATGATATTAAAAACATGTTAAATGTCATATTCTGTAGATCTCCGAAGTTTTTGAAGAAAACCTCTCTTTCTAAAATATCTGTTTGACCTTGTAAACATGCCTAATGTGACTACAAGTTCATTATAATAGTAGACTAATTACCAAACTACATTTCCTTATAGTCCTATATAGTTGATAATAATAACTTTCAAGGACTAGAAATTTGTATTACATTGTTAAATGAGCAGTATAGATATAATACCTTGAACAATATAGAAATGTATGTACAGTATGTCTTAGCAAAATTAATCTCAAATTTGCATTAATATACATCTGTATACAATATATATAAATCTAATCCACTGTAAAGTATTTAAAACTAGTGGGTGATTTTTCAGAGTAGATTCAATGATCTACTCTTTTTATCCTATCATATCTGGATTTTTCTTTCAAAACAGAAACCTTGAACCCCTTTGTTCAACTTTCTTGCTGATCATAAGCAACAACATTTTGCAACCAGTCCCCCTAAACAATGACAAATATCCATATCCCAATGAGTGATCAAAAACCCCACCTCTTGGGAATGTGAAGCCGTGTTCTTAAAGTTATTTCCTGCTGTCTGGGGGCAATGACATCGTCACTGGATCCTGTAAAGAAAATTTGAGTTAATTCTCAAGCTGTATCATTTGTTGTTCAGTCTCTGCATAATGGGAAAGCACAGGTCTTGTTTCAAATCCTGGCTAATGTAATCTATGGGGCTGGATCACTAGCCACCTTGAAATTGTTCTGAGCAGTGTCTGTGAGGCTGGATCATCTCAGCAAGTCACCTTGAAATTGTTATGAGCAGTTTGTAGTTCAAAGCTGACCTTTAGTTGGTGTTTAGTGATGTTGTCATAGTCCTGGTGAAATTGTCATTGTGGTGCCCCATCATCCTTTTGGAGTCTTCAAATGTCACTGTTAGGTGTGGCCATGGTTCACTGTAGAAAACTGATAAGGGACTCAAACCAGAAATCATGTACCTGAAAGTAGACAAAATCTTTTTTTCTAGAATTGGATATTACTCTATATGACCATAATTATCATGACAAAATTATGATATTAGTAGCAATACAATAGTCCTAAATATTGTTTCCCTTCCGTCCCATATCAGATGGCTCCTGTGAATGAGACAGAGATTTTATATTTCACTTTAATAAGCCTGCTCGGATTTAGAGAAAGATAGAGCCACACTCTAACTCCAAAGCCAGCTCTTAATCTTTCAGTGGCCTGAGACTACAAAAAGACCATTTGCATTATATCTCTGTATAGAAAAAAGAAACAAACATTTGGGAAGATTGATGAAAATCTGTAAATCTCCCTCATGCCTTCCTGAATGAATTCATAGGTTGGCCCAGAAATGGATTTCAGACTGGGCACATGATGGTCAAGGACCTTTTAGACTCAAAATGGTTAAATGTGTTGTGAGAACCACATCTTTCCCTGAAACCCAAGGTCAGTGGTGAGGGGAGAGCTGTGAATCTTTCCGTTTAAAAAAAAAAATGTGTGAAAGTCCCATGGTGATTGGTGTTGGGTCTCACCCACCACATCCTGTGCATAGTCCTCACCCACTGGACTGAGTCCACACACACACACGGTACAGCATTGGCTTTGCCAGTGGTATGCTGTTGACACTCACTGCCCTACTCTACCTGGGTAAGTCCTTCATAAAAGGGGGATGGAATCAAGAGCAGGAGTTGGGGAGACATTGTATCATTGTTGTTGTTTTCTAGGACTATGTCTGACCCAGAGGATCAACACAGGAAAACGTAAGTCCTTCCTTGAGAGCCTCAGTCAAGGTCATTTTTAGGGGTTTATCTCAGAGGCCCGTCTGAGAACATCCAGAGACAGAGGCAAGCATTCTGCGTCACTATGATGGCTTCATGCTGATGGCTGAGGACAGTGGAGTAGATAGGTAATGGTTCACCTGGGACTTGTGCCTCTGGTTTCTTTTTCAGAGACTCTCCCAAAACCCATCATCTGGGCCAAACCCAGTAGCAGGGTACCAAAAGGAAACCCTGTGAGCATTTGGTGCCAGGGACCTCAGAGTGCTTCTGAGTATCAACTGTACTTTGAAGGAAGCCTTTTTGCTTTGGAGAGACCAAAGCCACGTACATTAGTGAGTAAAGTCAAGTTCTTCATTCCACAAATGACCTCAAACACTGCAGGGAGATACTACTGCTTTTATCAGAGTGGGGAACTTCAATCAGAACACAGCGATCTCCTGGTTCTGGTAGTTACTGGTGAGTATCTTGGTTTTTAGAAGTAGAGTCACCTTGGAATGAATCATGGGGAGTGCCAGGGTTCACAAATACCAAAAAGAACTCTTGAAGTACCACACTGACACTGCTTATCTTGGCTGGAAGACACAGGATGTGTCTAATCATGGGCACTTCCTATAAGGGTAACATTCAGAGTCAGTTCTCTGTCCTGGCATCAATGTGTCTTACGTCAAGATCTCTGAAAGATGTTTCTGTAATAGGCCACTGTGTGCCAGGGTGGACAAGAGAATCAAATCATCAGAAAATGTAGCCATGCACATGGTTCTCAAATTTAACCAAGCTTGAAAAACAACTAGAGGTCTTGTAAAAACATAGATCGCTCTCACACAGGCATATTCATGGAAGCTTTAGTCAGGATAGCCGAAACATGGCTGGTTGGATGGCTCATGAATAAGAGAGCTTGCTGTTCTCAAGTATGAGAACCTGAATTCAAATCCTTAGAAACCATATAAAAAGTCAGGTGTGTCTGTGACCCTAGAACTGGGCAGGGAACACCACCTGATTGTTGGGGCTTGATAGCCACCAGCCTAGCTGTCGGTTCAGTAAGACCCTGTCTCAAGGGAATAAGATGAAGAGGGGTAGAGCAGGACACCAGCCTCTGGCCTCCACACATGCGTTTAGAGGTACACACACTTAAACACACACCGGAACATACACAACACATACCACACACAATCACACAGAGGAAAAATAGAGAAATTAAATAAATAAACTAATAGCTAAAGGAAGTAATTACAATGATGTCTCTTAGCGAATTTATGGATGAACAAAATGTGGCATATCCATACAGTGGAATATTACTCTACCTTGCAAAGGAAGAGAATTCTGGCACACACTATGATGCAGCTGAACCCTGAGGATGTTATGCAAATGGAGACAAGCCAGTCACGGAAGGACGAATAATGTCTGATTGCACTTAGTTGAGTTACCTGGAATTGTAGAATTCATAGAGACAAAAAAATATGTAGACGGATGATGGTTGCCAGATCTTGTGAAGGCAGAAAGGGAGTTGTCTAATAGTTTAAAGGTTTCTGGTCTTGAGAAGAGAAAGTTCTAGAAGGGAAGGATATTAATGGTTTGTGGCAGTGTCCTGTGTTTAATGACTCTGAACAAAAAGGAGACCACAAATTTGAAAGTGAGCAAGAAGGTTTTGGAGAGAGAACAGGGAAGGGGAAATGGTGTGATTATATTATAATCTCAAAAAACAATAACTTTTAAGATGTAAAAGTCTATCTTGTCCCTGGGTTTCTGACGCAGGGGCTCCAGGAAGGGGCAGAGCATCTTCAGCCTTCTAAATGAGAATAGTAGTTTTGGTCCTGAGGACCAAACTCAGAGCCATGGATAGAGATGCAGAAGCTAGGCCCAAATGCCTTAGTCCTAAAGGATAATGGATCTGTGACAAGCACACATTTGGGAAGCATAAGGATCCCAGATTCCAAAGAGTGATGTCTGGTCACAGAGAAAGGGTATGGGTACCCGCCCTGCTTCTCCCCCAGGCATGTATGACATACCCAACCTCTGGGTTCATCCAGGGCCTGAAGTAACCTTGGAGGAGAAAGTGACCTTCTTCTGCCATCTGGAAGCTGGGACAAGCAAATTCTTTCTTCTCAAGGAGGGAGAACCCAACCATGTCCAGCAAAGACATGGGAACAAAAAAGCAGAGTTCCCCATGGGCCCTGTGACCGGAGCCCACAGAGGGACATACAGATGTTTTGGCTCTTACAACGACTATGTATGGTCTTTCCCCAGTGAGCCTGTGACACTACTCATCCCAGGTAAGGACACTCTCGCCTGTGTCTTAACCACAGCTGTAGAAAATGCCCTTGACAGTGATTTTCGAAAGATAGCAAAGCGTTCTCTGCTTCTTAGAGACCCAACTGGCCAGTCGGGAACACCAGAGGGGCAGAGAATGATCAAGGAATAAAGAATACAGGAGGAGACCTAAAATGCTCACTTTTTAAAATCATTTGCCATTTCTAGGAAGTGAGGGGAACACCAGCCTTGCACCAGCACCTACTTCTCTTGGTGAGTCACTTCCAAATCCGGCAGAAAGGAGCTGGGTAATTAGCTACTGGTAAGGTTGGATGCCCAGCACCCAGGTAAAATCCAGGCATGCTGACCTGTGCCTGTAATCCTGGTGCTAGGGAGGGGGGGACCCCTGGGGCTCAGTGGCAAGCCAGTCCAGTTGAATCAATGATTTCAAGGTTTCTTAAAAGACCCTATCTCAAAAATTAAGATGGAGAGGATTGCAAAAGGCATCCAATGTTGACCTGTGACCTATGTGCCCGAGAGCGTGCAAATTGGCAAATTGGCGTTTAAAACTGAGCATCACAGAGGTGATGGTGGGGATGGGGGCAGCTCACTTCAGACAGGGAAGAAAACGCTGTGTTGTGAATTTGTCTTCATGTGAGAAGGAAATGTTGTTGTATGAATGAGGGAAATGAGGCTTCCCCAGAGTCACTGTCTGCCATGAAGACACCTGTATTGGTACTGTGGGTGAATCCACGCTTGAGTACAGCCATCTCTTTACTAGTCTGCTCGATTGCCAATACAAAGGCCCTAGGACTTGGAATTCCGGGTGGGAACCAATGTTGGAAAGCCATGGGATGTCATAGGGAATATAGAGAAGAAGAAATATTTCAAAGGAAGGATCCAACACCTGTTCATCCATCCCTTCTTCTTTTCCTTATCCTCAGTTTATTGGGAGTACAGCCTTTCCACCAAAGAATCGGGATTGCAGAAGGGTAAGTGAACATCTGGAAGCATAGACTCTGGGGAAAGGTGCAGGGCGAAACGGGAATGTCAAAGAAGAGGGGAATGGGGTGGGTGTAGCCTCTGTCAGCAGCCACTCTGTCTTCTGACTCCAGACTCTGCCTTCTGGGATCATACAACCCAAAATCTCATTCGGATTGGTCTGGCATGCATAGTCCTGATGGTTCTAGTATGGCTTTTGGCTGAAGACTGGCTCAGCAGGAAGAGGGAGAAAGAGGGGACCAACAGACCAGCAAGTTGGGAATGCAGAAGAAGATGGAGACTGCGATGTTCTCTCAAAGAGGAACAAAGGGATGCAATTTCTATGGGGGAACTGAAGGCAACTCCTGGACCTGGGGCCATATGAGCTCTATTCTGCCCCCTGGATGAAGGAGGTGGTCATTGCAGGAATGAAGGAGTGTTGTCACCAAACTTGGCAAAGCATCCTAAATATCATGGTGAGATGAAGCCTACAGTTTTTACTGTAGACAAATTCTCACTGTCTCTGTTATGCTTTAAGTACGTTAGAGCTTATTTACTGCAAGCTATACTTTTAACCACTCTGGTCTTTCCTAGAAATAGTTACCTTCCAATGTGTTGGCCATGGAATATGTCCCTACTACTTTGGTCTTTATCATTTTTTCTAATTTTATTTATTTATTTTATATGTATGGGTGTGTTTGGGGGCATGTATGTCTGTGTTTCATGTGTGTAGTTAGTGTTAGATCCTCAGGGACTAGAGTTACAGATGGCTGTGGGCTGCCAGGTGGGTGCCAGGAAATTGAACCCAAGTCTTCTAGAAGAGCAACAAATGCTCTGAACCACTGAGCTGTTGCAATACATTTGTTTATCACATGTAAAGATGTGTCACTGTGATTGATTTAATAAAGAGCTCAATGGCAAATAGTTAGGCAGGAGAGAACAGGTGGGATTTCTGGGCAAAGAGAAAAACTCAGGATGAATTCTAGGGGTATTATAAGATATTCCAGCAAGACATGGAGTAAGTTGGACAGACATAGAGGGGAGAGAGGTAAATTATTAAAGGGAGGTTAATTTAAGTTATAAGAGCTAGTTGGGCAAAAGCCTAAGATAAGGTAGAGCTTTCATAATTATTAAGTCTCCATGTTGTTATTGTGAGCTGGCAGTCCAAAGAAAGGCTGGCTACCCTGAGCCATATCTCCAGCTCCATCCTCAATTCATTTTTTATGTATTGTGTGTCTGTGTGTGATGTATGTGTGTGTGCACACACGCACACATGTCGTGTCGCTCATATGAGGTCACAGGACACCTTTGTGCCGTCACTTTTCTCCCTCAGTTATTCATTTAAATTCTTTAATTACTACTCATATTTACATAGCCACCCCCCACACTCCCTCACCCTCTCATCCTCCCTCAATTTTTTAAATTATTTTTTTTTATTTTTGAGAATACATCCGCCCCCTTTTTCCTCCCTTCAAATACTCCCATATATCCCTCCTTGCTCTCTCCCAAACTCATGGCCACTTTTTCCATTAATTGTTGCTACACACACACACACACACACACACACACACACACACACACACACACGCTTACAGTGCATTTTCTTGGATGATGAGTAACGTAAAGGGCCCCGCCCACTGTGGGCAGTATCCTCCCTATGCTAGTGGTCCTGGGTTCTACAAAAATAGCAGTCTGAGAAAGCAAACAGGAAAAAGCCAACAAACACCACCACCACCCTGGCCTCTGCATCAACTCCTGCCTCCTAATTCCTGTCCTGATTTCTCTCTGTGAAGGGCCATGGTATGAGATTCTAAGCTAAAATAAACCCTTTTCTCCCAAAGTCACTTTTGGTCATGGTGTTTTATCGAAGCATTAGAAACCCTATCGAAAACATGTACAGAATGATTCAAAAACCATTGCAGCCGGGTGTTAGTGGCACACGCCTTTAATCCCAGCACATGGGAGGCAGAGGTAGGCAGATCTCTGTGATTTGGAGACCAGCCTGGTCTCCAGAGCGAGTGCCAGGATAGGCTCCAAAGCTACACAGAGAAACCCTGTCTCGAAAAAAAAATGCAGACACATAGTTGGGTCCTAGCTGGATCTCAGCCAAACCTTGGTTCCCCCCATAGATAGACCATGTCGGTCCTAGAGATTGAACTCGTGATCAGGCTTGGTGGCAAGTGGCTTTTCCTGCTGAGCCATTGCACTTGCCCTTGACATTTCCTGTAGTAGCACCAGAACCCCGTCAGTGCTCACATGTCATGTTCCCATCTGCAGCATGAGTCTATCATTTGGTGATTTATTCCCAGTCCTCCAGGAGATATCAGGAAACACACTGAATGAATGGGTACATGAATGCAACATGGAACTTGAGAGTCCTGGGTCTTGATATGAGGTATAGGGTCTAGCAGCTCTTTCCTCCTGGAACTATTTGATTGCCCCTATTAAACTGGAACTATTTAATATGCTAATATGGATCACCATTCCCCATTATACAGACACATTAAGGCAGGTTAAATCCATCTCTAAAGCCAAGTTTCCTGTTAGGTATCAAAGGATATTCCTAAACCCAAAGACTATAAGGTTTTTTACTGTTGTTTTTGATGGTTGATTGGTTGGTTGGTTGGTTGGTTGATTAGTTTGGGATATCTTATTGTATTTTGTTTTCTTTTGTTTTGTTTGAGACAGGATCTCACTATGTGGTCCAAGATGCCCTCAAACTCTTGATCCTCTATGCTTGGTCACAGGTATGTGCCACCATGCCTGGTTTAATACAACGATTTACTGGGGAGTAATATCAAGAAATTAGCCTAATGGGACAAAACTAGACCCGCTACATTTGGGTGACAGTTGTGTAGCTTTATCTGTTTGTGGGACCCCTGGCAGTGGGACCAGGATCTATCCCTCTCGCATGAGCTGGCTTTTTGGAGACCATTCCCTATGGTTGGATGCACCAAGAGTATTGCATACTTGCATAAAAGTGACCTTATGTAGCCCTATATAATAATAAACTGTTCAATAAAAACCCTAAGACTCATCATGGATTCCAACAAGCCAAGCTAAAACCAAAATGGAGTCATGCATGCTAAGATTGTAGATGGATATGGTAAAACCAAATTGCTCATCTGACCTTTTTTGGTGGGGGTGGGGGGTAGTTCAAGACAGAATTTCTCTGTGTAAAAGTCTTAATTGTCCTGGAACCAGCTCTGTAGACCAGGCTATCCTAGAATTCACAGAGATCCCCCTGCCTCTGCCTCTGCCTCCTGAGTGCTGGGATTAAAGGCTAGTATTACGACTCAGTAATAGATTGCTTACTTAGCATATGTGAAGCCCTGGGTTCCATCCCTTAGACACACACACACACACACACACACACACACACACACACACCAGGAAGCCAAGACTGATATTTTTCGACAGGGTCTCACTTTGTAGCCCTGCTGATGTTAAACTTTAGATCAACTTTATAAATGCTGGGATTACAGGTATGTATTGCCACACTCAATCAGAAGTTCATCTTAAATGTATGTATGGTCATTGAAATGTAGATTCCTGGACCAGTGAGATAAATCAGCCAGGAAAGGTGCTTGCCACCAAACCTGACAACTTGAGTTCAATCCCCCCACGAAACACCCCCACACACCCACCCGCAACACCCCCCCCTCGCCCACACACACACACACACACACACACACACACACACACACACACACACACACTTGATAAAATTTGATAAATAAATCTAGATTCCTATGAGAGCAAACACAATTGCTTGTCCCTTTGACTTTCCATGGCTCTTTAATGTTGGACAGCCACCTGTCCTAAAAACAGACTCTTGGGACATTAGCACTGTGAAATGACACCCACCCTCCACTCACCCTGGCATGGATAAGTCTAACTGCAATAAAAATTTCAAACAACTGGTGTGGCTTGGAACAGCATGGGGCTGAGGTGGGGGTCAGTCCCCACCGATCCCTTTCCTAGTTAGAAGTTCCTTGGTCGTGGGATTGATTCCCAGTGGCCAATTGCAGAGCTTGGGTGGAAAGGCAACCACTTTTTTAAATTATAAACAAACTTATTTTACATATCAATCCCAGTTCCCTCTCCCTCCCATCCTCCCATGGCCCCTCACTGAGCCCCCATCCACTCCCCAGGGACGGTGAGGCCTTCCACGGGAGATCATCAAAGTCTGTCACATCATTGGGGCAGGACCTAGGTCCTCCCCCGGGTATCTAGGCTGAGAGAGTATCCCTCCATGGGGAATGGGTTCCCAAAGTCCATTCGTGCAATAGGGATAAATACTGGTTCCACTGCCAGAGGCCCCATAGACTGCCCAGGCCCGCCAACTGACACCCACATTCAGAAGGCCTGATTCAGTCCTATGCTGGTTTCCCAGTTTTACGACTGGGGTCCGTGTGTTCCCACTTGGTCAGGTCAGCTGTTTCTAAGGTAACCACTTTTAAGAGTGATTTCCCACACCTGTAACGCTCACTGGGAGCCTGAGTATCTAGATGCTAGCGTTGGAGAGGTGAACCATAGCCCGTTGGCTATTTACTCTTTTGGGAGGTGTCTCTGTGATTTCCTCCTACCTTTCTGTGAATATTTGGATGTCTTGCCAGGAAGAATTATGAGGTTTGCACTCAAATTTGATTCTTTGAAGTGGGTCCTCACGTAGCCCAATCTGGCCTTCACCTGGCCCTACAGCTAAGGATGTCTTTGAACTGATGCCCCTGTCTGTAGCTCTAGTGCGATGATGACATTACATGTTTGTACCTGTACTCAAGTTATGCAGCATTTTGTGCATGCTAAGCAAGCATTTTAACAACTAAACCTCATCCCCAGTTCTCAGAACTTCCCTCTGCAAAGGCTGTAGTGGGCTTAGAGGAGTCTTCGCCAATAACTCCTTCAAAGACTTCCAACAGCGTTTCCTTCACCAGAACCCAGGTCCAGGATAGTCAATGTTTCAGAGACTTGGAGACAGTCGTGGTGTTGAGCATAGCAAGAGTGTGGTGCCAGGGTGTCTTTCTGTCTTCTGGGGGGATTTGGAGCACAGAGATAACAAAACTGCAACACCTGAGCCTATCCGGTGTCAGGCCAAGCAGTAGGTTGAGTCTGGAAAATGCCATGGTTTTGTTCTGAGAGATCCCTCTCCTTTTCCCCTTCCCTCACCCCTTACTCTTTTGGGACAGGGTCTTGCTGTAGTCCAGGCTAGCCTCAAACTCAAGACAGTCTTCCTGACTCAGCCTCTTAAGTACTGAACTGAAGGCGAGGATGTAATTATAATCACTAGACCCAAGATAAATGATAAATGGGTGCTTATTGGAGAACAATTATAAAGAAAAGTACAAAAAAGCACTGGAGCATTTCCCTGCTCTTCCTACCATATCTGCTGGCCCACCAGACAGAGTTCACCAAAGAAAGCCATGCCTCAAGCTTGTCTCTTTCCGCTTCCATCTGCCTGAAACCACACCCAAAGGGGTGTGGGCACCATTACAGATCCACAGACCAGATGCCTTCACTGGACTCATAGACAAGATCCACCATGCCTGGCCAAGCAACTCCCCTTAACAGAGGACATCACACTTTCTTTATAGAGGTGCTGTAATATCTTCAGGTCATTTTAGTTAAGCCTCGGGATTAAATCTGTGAGGATAAGGGCCAGTTACTGTTGCATGAGATTTACATCTGTCTCCTGGATGTATGTGTTATCCTCTCTGCCATCCAATGTATCTCCACATGAGGTGTCTTCAGTGCCTCCTTAAACACACTGAGATTCACTTAAGCAAGCGTAACTTTCCACTTAACTTGCACGTATTTGACTCACCTGGGCACAGCAGCCAGCACTGAGCACGGCCTAGGTAGCAGGTGTAATTTATCCAACCACCTCAGAAGGATTCCTCAGGAGGCCAGCACAGGGAGCTGCCCTACTCCCCACCGCCTGTCAATGGCCAGTTAACACAGGATAGTGAGAAGCAGGAGTTTTCTTACAGCCTGGAGGTCTCAGTGAGCTTTCATACCAACTCGAGTCTGTACCACGAGCCTCTCCATGGTGCACACAGCTACCCAATCCTGGCCCCAGTACATGCTCACACGCCCTTGCACAGCCACCTTGGTTTTTCTATAGTGTTTGGGCAGTGAGGGCATTTGGCATTACAGGACAATGGACAGGGACAGAGGCCAATGTTAGGAACCTAGTCAAAAGGCAAAGAAGGACCTCCTCACTAATGCCATAGAGAAGATCATTGAGATGATGGTCTATGGGGGCCAAAATTCCAGTTAAATAGGGTGAGAAAGTCCTGGGACCCAATGTATAGTGTGGTGATTACAGTTACCATATGGAAATAATCTTTATATATGACTGTTAAAATGTATTTTAAATGTTCTTACCACAAGACTATAACTGCTCACGATGGAAAAATTAGTGGTCTCCAACAGAGTCTCACAGCATGTATAATAGGGACTAATTAATAAAATATTAGTGTAGGGCTTCACCTAGACATGAAAGCTGAGAACTTACAGCTTATCTGCAAATTGGAGGGGGAGAGAGAGCAAGACCTGGCCTGATGCCAGCTTTCTTGATGCCAGCTTCTGAAACCTGAAAGCTCACACACACACCCAGTGACACATCTCCTCCAACAAGACCACACCTCCTAAACCTTCCTAAACAGTCCACCAACTGGGAAACAAACATTCACATTCATTTAGTCTGCTGGAACCATTCTCATTCAAACCACGCACACACACACACACACACACACACACACACACACCTTTCTAGAGCCTATGAGCTCAGAACCTGACCTGAGCTCCCTCCTGTAGGAAAGCCTCACATACAATCAGAAAGCAACTTGCTACCCCCTAACAGTTAACCCAGAGTGAGAGAGAGAGAGTTGTAACCCCTCTGGGGTCAGGTTCTGAAAGATGCAAATGTCTTCTACCTCTTTCTTTTTCAGTACCATCATTCAAAACACATGGTAAAGGTATTCTTCTTTTGTATTAACTAAGTTTCTTGAGGATAAATTTTATTCATGGGATATTGAGAACCTGGGTATTTCTTTATTTTAAAATAATCTTATTTTACATACCAATCCCAGTTCCCTCTCCCTCCTGTCCTTCCACCCCCAACACCATCTCCCCATCCCACCCCCATCCACTCCTCAGAGAGGGTGAGTGTAGGGAGACACTGTAGCCCTGCCTCCTAGAAGCCCCTACAGGTGTGCTTGGCCACACCCATGAGGGCGTGGTCAGGGGAGGCTGAAGATGACTCGGGAGCAATTCTTAAGGGGCCGTGGACACGTGGAGACCCCTTCTCTCTGGCCTTCCAGGCTTGCTGCCTCTGGGCACACTGTGGCTTGCGTTTAGCTGGTATTTATCTGAATAAAGAAATCTTAGTCTTACGGCCTACAGATCATCTTTGAGCACGCAATACCTCCCCCCTCCCCCCCCCCCCCTTTCCTTCTTA